ACTGTATCAGAGAGTGCTGTTCTCAAGGCCACAGGCAATGCACAAAGTAGAGCTTGGGGAAAAAGCAGAAGAAAACTTGATGAATATTGGTGTCTACGGCTGTGTGCACAGGCACGCACAACGGTGAAAGAAGAGACAGCAAAAAATGATTCAAAAGGAGCAAAAGTGATAGAAAGAGAGTGGAGAAGAGCTAACAATTGGTCAAGAGCACTTATAAAAGGAAAATGCAGATTAGAATTTGATACTGATCTCAAGAGCTATAGGGAGAACATTCCACCCCCATTTAGCCAAGGCAGAGGGTTCAGCAGTCTCAGGATCCCCTGGGGCAGCACTGTCCACACCAGGGACCTCTGATTCCGCCATAGCTACCGGGGATGTATAGCCCGATAGCAGCATCCCACTTCAGCTGCCTTCTGGTGATCCAGGCTGCACTACTGACCTTAAATCTGACAGTCTCCAGTCCCAGGAAGGGAAAGACAGGGGATCTGCCTCCACTGGGGCAACCTGACCTGAACCAATTTAGTAAAGGGGTGAGTCAGTGACACACACACCCACCCAGTGCACAAATGTAAGGGCATGGATTAGATTTTTATTGTTACTGTGACAAATTACTGTAAGTTAGCTGGCTATCCTATGAACCAGAGTCTACCGTGATCTCACTGGGCCAAGACTAAGGTCCTGGGATCCCTGCCAGAGGCTCTGGGGAGACGGTTCCCTCCCCGATTCCATCTTAGCAGCTGCCTGGTTCCTTTGGTTATTAGACCTTTGTTCCATCTTTATCAGCCACAGAGACCACAGTGGCCAAGGTTTTCCTTGCAACCATCCCTCTAGTTCTGTCTGCAACTTTTTTTGAGGAGGGAGGGGTACTAGAAATCAAACTCATGACTTTAAGCTTGCCAGGCAGGTGCTATGCCACTGAGCTAAATCCCCAGCCCCTCTCTGCAACTCTTAAGAAAGCTTTTATTACTTTGGGGCCACCTGGATAATCCAGAATAACAGTTGTCATGTACTATAGACTCAACTGATTAGCACATTTCTTTCCATCTGAATCCTAAATTCCTCAGCTTTGTGTCGTAACGCATTTAGGAGACATACTTACATCTTTGGTGGGCCATTCCTCTATTGCCTCTGACCCCAAGTGCTCCCTATAGTTAAAGAGCCCTGTATGGCCAAGTTGAATCATTATGTTCACAGCAGCAAAACACTTACTTTGGTTTTCTTGCTGTTGGGACAAAATACCTGACACCCACAAGTTAAAGGAAGGTAGGTTTGTTTTGACTGACAGTTTTTTGAAGTTTTAGTCCATAGCTGGTTGCTACCAAGACAGGGCAGCATGGCAGAGAAACAGTGCATGGCGTGACAGGCAGGAAGCAGCATGACTCCTTTCCCTTTTTATTCCATCCAGGCCCGCCACAAGCCTGATGGTTGGTGCCACCCATATCCAGGATGGGTCTTCACTCTTTACTATAAAGCCCATCATCCACATTATGCTAAGCCCACCAGTGGACCAATCACATCACACATTCATGATCCAATCAATCCCAGAAGCCCCGCCTATGGGCCCATGAGGCTTTGGGGGGAGACATCTAGATATCATTTGTAACACCATTTACATCTTAAATACTTTTTCTGATTTTTTTCTGTTTTTTTGGTCTTATTTTGCTCACTTTATGACTTACATTTCCTGGGATCATTTCCAAAATTAACCTCCTTCCCTCTAATCCTTGTTGATCTATCTTGGGGAACTTCAAACTACCAAATAACCTTGGCAAGCTGTTTAGTTACTCTGTCCCCTAGTTTCCTTCTCAAGGAGACTTCGGGCAGAATTCTGACTGGAGCTTATGAAGCACTTTGAACAGCACAAACAGGGCCAGTTCTCAGAAATGGGCTATTGTTGGAGGGGCAGAAGCTGGGGTACAGGCGGAGGGCAGTCCTGCTCTGAGACACTGACTTTGATGAAGGGAGGGAGGGGGCTCCAGGTAGCAGTAGAGGGTTTCCTCCGAGGGTATCTATTTTCTCTTTAGGGTGCATCCACTCAGGGCTGGGAATATGGCTCAGTGGTAGTGTTTGCCTAGCATGCATGAGGCCCAGAATTGCATCTCCAGCACTGCCACCTCCCCCATGCCCGTGAGCGAGCGCGCGCGCGCGCGCGCACACACACACACACAGTGCATTTGCTGTTGGGGGCAGTGAAGTGTGGCACAGGTCACACTTTGAGAATAATAATGAACATTAAGAGACAGAAACACAGACACAGACAGCAGGCAGGCCACAGCAGCAGCCAGGGCAGCTGCAGGATAAAGGCTCGGCTCTGGCCACACTTGCTCCTTCAGCCATTCCATTTTCAGGTTCAGCAGAGCTCTGTCCAAGGTCTCCTACACTTCTTCCTGAGCCCTTTGGGATTAATCCCCTCTCCCTCCAGGGATTTAGACTCCATTTACATGCTGATGAACTCAGATTTGCATCTCCAACTCCAAAATGCACCTCGAATGGCCAGGAGGCCAGGAATTTAACTCACACTCATAACTAATTTGCCTCCCAGTAATTCCTACCGCAGAGGTATCACCACCCACCTAGCCCCTTCAAAACTATAAACCGGGGGTCGTCTGCTGTTTCCTCCCCTTCACGTATTAAATCACATCACATTCCTTACCCTGGTGATGTTTTCTCGCCCTTCAGTTTAAGTGTAGGCTTCCCTGGAACAAAACTCTCAACTAGGAATAAGGCCCCATTTTTCCCCTGGAGAGGCATCTTCCGACATGCTACCGAGCTTAACCACTCCTCTGGGTAATACAGAAATCTTCACAAAAAATCCCTCTCGGCCTAGATGTGTCACCGTCCCTGATCCCCCACAATTTTTTCTGTGAGTTTTCTTAAAAAGCTCACATTTCCCAAAATGCACCATCGACTTAAAACAGGAGCGAGTGGTAAGGTTTCTCAGTCCCGTCTCCTAAGCCAGGAGTCCGAGCCAGGTGTCTGGTAATCGTTTGCGACTAGGTCCTGTCTCCTGGTGATCCCCAGCAGAATCCAGCTTTGTCACGTGGTTATGCGATCCCTCACACAAGTCTAACACAGCCCGTTACAGAACCAGGTGCTGCCGTGTGCTTTCCCAACTTTTTCCAAGGTGTGGAGAAAGGCTACAAAGACCAGAGGAGCCAAGTGTCCATCTGGCGTCCACACCCAGACTCAAAACCCTAGGAAACCAGCAAACAACTTTCATGAACGAGGAGGACATCTACAGCGTGCAGAATTGAAAGCATTTATAAAGCCCCCTTCCGCTATCCCAAACTATTCTGTTCCCAAAATAATCTGGAAAATGCTGACCCACTTCAAAAAAGTTTGGTCGGGCGCGCCGCAAAGCCGCTCAGCCGCTCAGCTCTCAGGGAAGGCTGGGGGTAGGTCGCCGGTGCATTTGCATCCGCAATGCATGAGAAAGCCGCACACCTGGTCGCCCGCAGGCGCCGAGCGGCCTTGCCAGGGTTGGGGGGGGGGGCACCGCGGGGTCGGGCTTCAGTGTCTACTGGCCTCGTGGGCACCGTGCTACGCGGCTCGGCGACCCGGCGGCCTGGGCTTCCCAGCGAGCAGAGTGCACGTCCCGCACACCCGCGGGCATCTGCATACTTCGCCGAGGCTACGAGCGGAAAGTAGGTGCGCTAGGTGACCCGGTACCCGCCGCCGCGCTCCGGGAGCAGTCGCGGTGCAGCTCGGCCGAGAGGAGGCGGCCGTGCCAGTGAGACTCGCAACTTTTGAAATCGATCCTTTTTTGCATCGTGCAACGGATGCCGCCGCGGGCCCGCACCCCGCCTCCCCGAGACCAATCACCGCGGGCCCGGGCCTGCAGGCGCCCCCGCCCTCCCCGCGCTCGCAGCCGCAGCCTGGGCCGCGGCCCGCGCCTCTTCCCGGGAGGGGCCGGCCCGCCGCGGCCGCGCACCCGCCGCCCCCCGCTGCGCCCAGGCCTCGCCGCCCGCCCGGAGCCGCATTTTTATTCAGGCGACGCTTAAGGGCGCCCGGCGCCCGGTGCATTGTGGGAGCGCGCGGCGGGCTCGGGAGGAGGCGGAGGCGCGAGCGAGCCGGTAAGCGCGGGCCGGGGAGGGGGCGCCAGGCTTAAAGGGGCCCCGCGGGCCGCGGGCCCGGACGCCCGTCGCCTACCCCCTCGGGGCCGCCGGGCTGCCGGGGCCGCCACCCGCCCGGCCGTGCCCGCGGCCCGCGCGAGGGCTTGGTGGGGCCGCTTTAAAAACAAGCGCCGCCCGCCGCCGCCGCCGCGCGGGCCCGGGCGAGGAGGAGGAGCGGGCGGCGGCGCAGGGGAGCGGCCGCGCAGGGGTTAATCCGCCCGCTGCGGGCGGCCGCGCGGGGGCCGAGGCCCGGTGTGTCGTGCCTCCTCGTCCTCCGCGCCCGCGCCACAGGCCCCGAGCCCAGGCCTGCTCGGGCCGCCGCCCGGCTCGGCCCGCGCTCGGCATGGCCCGGCGCGGCACAAAGAGCGCGCCCGCCCGGCCTCGCGGGCGGCGGCGGAGCCCCGCCGTGTCCCAGGGCACCGTCCCCGTCCGGCCTCATGGGGCGCGCGCCCGCCCGCCCCGGTGTGCACCCGCGGGCCAGGGGTGCAGGGCGGAAGGTGTCGGGGCTGGGGCACCCGGCGCCGGCTCCGCAGCCGCGGCCGCGCGCCGGGGCGGCGAGGGTTAACGCGAGCTCTCCTGTGCATGGTATTGTTTTAAAGGTGCAAACCTGTGGCGACCTTCTCTTAGGATGCGGCTCTGCCCCTTTCCATTTATTCCTGCACACCTTCCTGCCCCGCACCCCCAGGCCCCGTGCCTCTCCTTTCCAAAAACGTGAGTTTAGTTAGTTTGCCTTGGGGTTGGAACGTGAGTCCCTGTATCCCTGGCGTCCCGCAGCACTTGGAATTACAGAAGGATCAGCACCTTCTTTTAAACTTTGTCTCCCTCTGTTTTAGAAGTCTGGGAAAATAAAAATTCAAGAGGAAGTTCCCAGAGTGGTTCTGCCCGCCTCTGGCAGGGCTGGGGTTGGGGTAGAAATGGGGATTGGAGGTAGGAAAGTAGCTGGGTGCCTCCTGAGCTGCAGTTTTCCCCTTTGTAGAGGCGAAATGGTGTCATATGCTTGGCATTTTTCGAGGACAGGACTTTGCTGGTTTTGTTCCAAACCCTTCCATGTCGAAGTGCTGATACCGACTTTTCCCAAACTAAAATGGCTTCAAAATTCTCATCACTGTAACTTGCTTGACACGCCTTCTGGCTCTTTTTGGGCAGGTTGGTTTCTTGGAATGGTTTTGGAAGGTTTGTTCCTGCACTATACAGTTGTAGGTTTTGCACAGAAATCCTTGCTTTTCCCAAAGCTGTTTTTGCTAACGATGGTTTGGATTACTGCCCAAACCTGGGCTTTGTGAAATTTATTTTAAATGAGTGATGTACTTCCCAGGGGATGAAAAGCTCTATAATTGCGAATTATGTTCTTAATCATAAATTTTATAGGGAAAAGTGACCCTAAAACTTGGGGTGTCTGTAATTCTATGCCCAATAAAGTATCAGTCTGGAGGTTTGTAAACCCCAGGAGCACATGTTGATATTCGTTTTTAGCCAGGAGGCTTCACACTTACAAGAGCTTGTTCTAGAAATTTACAGTGGTACCCAGTACCAAAAGTGCTGGTGATAATGTAGGGTTTACTTTGTTTTAGCTCTGCAGTGAAATGGTAATGAGCAATAGCATATTTTGCTCAGTGATGTGTGTATTGGTTTGTTGGGCGCGATGTCTGCTTTCTAGGAAATAGCTAAGCATTAAAACATCAGAACTTTTCAAGTGCTCTCTTGAAGAGTACAACCCTTACCCAGTTAAACAGCCATTCAACTTTTTCATGTTGTGTTCTTCAGCATAGTCTCCTCAGAGTTTTACTTTGTGTTTTCTACTTGTGACTCAGAGAGAGGGGTTTTCTAAAATTAGGACTTAGCACTTTGAGGAATTTTGTCAAATGCATTTACATATATGTCTCACAGTTTGTATTAGGTGTTTTTATTTTTCTGTGTGAGATAGCAGAAAACATCAAAAACATTTTCTAAACTGCAAGTGCTTCCAGGGAGGCAAATGAGGTGGCCAGCGGAGAGCAGTTTTTATAGTGCTGCTGCAGGGAAAAACCCTTGGATCTTACAAGGTGTCATGGCCGGGACTGAAACCACAGTCCAGATGACAGGTTTTTCGGGGATATGTGTGGTGGTATAATCGTATTCTGGCTTATGTGTCACAGTAATGAACAAGGAATTGTGTCCCCACATTGATGCTTCCTGGTAATCTTGGTGACTTCACCCCTTGATCCTTGTACTTTCCCTCCCCTAGCATGCTACTGATCCTTGGCAAATACTGGTCCGAATTCTTTTAACGGTGTCTTTGTGTTTTGGTGGTACCTAGGTGGATCGGAAGTAGAGAACCCAGCTGACGGTGAGAGAGGGAGGGGAGGGGCTGAATTGTGAGGAGTGTGGGCCCCAGAACCATGTCTACGAGGGAAACTTTTAACCCGGAAAGTTATGAACTGGACAAAAGTTTCCGGCTAACAAGATTTACTGAACTGAAGGGCACAGGCTGCAAAGTGCCCCAAGATGTCCTGCAGAAACTGTTGGAATCCTTACAAGAGAACCACTTCCAAGAAGATGAGCAGTTTCTGGGAGCCGTTATGCCAAGACTTGGTATGTAAACCATTGTTTCCCATAACTGCAGTTCAGTCAGGGAGGCAAGAACCAGACTTTCTCCTCCTGTGTTACTTTTCTTTTTAAAATTATCTAAGAAAGATTCAAGGAATAATCCAATTATGCTGTTGTAACTTATTTAAAGGAATACTTGAAAAGGGATACTTGAAAAAACGTATTGAACATTTTTTAAACTGTGGAATATGTAACTGACATTATAGGACAGTAAAAGTAAAAGCTTTTTAAACTCAAATTGAACTTTCTGTTTAGCTGAGGGTTAAACAGAAACTCCTTTCTGCCTTTTCCCTAATGATCCTGACACACCGCACCCTTACACTAGAATATGCAATCCTTTCCTGTGTTGTGTGAGGTGCTTGCAAGGCACAGTGGCCTTTTAGGGTGGAATGGGGTCCTGTGCAGAGTGCCTGAGCTGAAAAGCTGAGGTGGTGTGTGCGGGACTGCTTAAGCTCAGAGTGCAGGAAACTAGAAGAATCTGCTGGATCCCAGGGTGCCTGCCATCTAAGTTTTACTTAACTAAATTCCTGGTTGTGGTAGTGGTTTTCCTTTTTCTCCAAACACAGAGCTCAGAAAGAAATTCTATACCCTGGGATATTGTTTAGTCATGCTTGTTGTGTATGTTGTTTGGTAATAATGCAAGACTGTGATCACTTTGCCTTTGAGTGCTTAAAGCACATGCTCGGGTTTGGATGGATTTTCTGTAGTTAGTGGATGACTTGATCAACTTTGTTTACACAACTTTAATTAATTTTTGCTCATTATTTTGTTGTAAAGTCCTGTCGTACCATGTTGATTCTGAGCCTGAGGTGGTGTTTTCTTCCCCAGTACATAAAGCAGAATTGGGGGGCTGGGGATTTAGCTCAGCGGCATAAGCACCTGCCTTGCAAGCAGGCAGTTGTGAGTTCGATCCCCGGTACCGATAAAAAGGAAAAAGACAAAAAAAAAAAAAAAAAAGAGATAAAGCAGAATTGTTTTGGTTGGACAGAGGGCACCCCTCCTACCTCAGACAGACAGGCAGACAGGCAGACAGACAGACAGACACACACACACACACACACACACACACACACACACCACACGCATGCGCACACATGGCTATGCCTGCTGCACTCTCAGGAGCTTTGAATACAGTTCCACTCCTCTAGCTGATGTCTAAGTTGTGGAGAAATATTGGTAAAAACAAGTTGGATTTTGATGACGATTGGCTTGTCAAGAAATGAGAATATATTGAGGACCTCTTAGATATTGGCATCAGGAGAAACAAGCCACTTACTTGTCAAAACCAAAGGAAACGAAAGGCCTGTGGCTAAAGCAGTGGTTCCTGTTCATGGCCTTCTCTAGTTGGTCTTGCTGAGCACTTTGGGCCTACCCTGCACCCTGGGTGCTTATGTGATGGGGTTACTGCTCCTTCCAGCAGCCCTCCAAGCTCCCTTGTTCTGTGGAACCGAGTTGAAGTTGGGGCCTGGAATCCGTGTCTTCCTTTGCTCCCTCCAGTTCATGCTGCCAGCCTCTTGGTTTCTTGGTTCATGTGTTGCGTAGGAAGATGAGCGGCTCTGGCTTTAACCTAGCCATGGCAGAAGGAACCACTGCCTAGCAGCCAGGGATGAGGCAGATAGAAGAAACAAAGGCCATCAGCCTGATTTGGCTTTGGAAGAGTAGCAAATGAAACTACAAGCTTTTCCCAGTGAAACCACACTTCCCACCCTTGCATTCATGCAGTGCCTAGAGGCCCACAGACCCCAGGTGCCCAGCAGATGCTTAAAAGAGCAGAGTTGGAAAGCCACTTAGTGTATCCGGTGGCCAGACTTTGCCTTGAAATCCAGGCCAGACTCCAGTCTTACCAGCCATTGTTAATGTTATGTATGTCGTGGGTTAGGAATACCTAGTTTACCAGTCTATAAAATAGGGGGAAAAAAAAATATATATATATATATACACATATATATATACATACACCTACATACATCCTGTGCATCTGTACCCACATCTGTAAGATGTGTGTGTAAAAAATTATGTACATGTATGTGTGTATGGATGCACATGTATGTTTTTCTAGTTTTTTCCTAATTATCATTTTCTTAAATTCTAAATTATATTAATTGAAGCATGAACCAGAACAGCTTTTGAATATACCCTTGCTGATGTATCCTAGCTGAAGAGTTGTTAGCACAGCTGTATCTTAGAAACTGGAATGTCTGCTGTCTGGCCCTGGGATCTATCAAGTGCAGATCGCTGATCTCTGTGATGGCAGTACCATTGATGAGTTGCTGGTTTTCTTGATGGAAGGTTTCAGAGGTTCTGATACATAAAAGTCCCTATTACTGCTGATAATTCTAACATGAAAGTCTCAGATTCGTGTTTAGTAGCCCCCATACCTTTTTTTTTTGATACCAGGGATTGAGCTCAGCTGAGCTAGCGACCCCCCCTCCATAGCATTTTTATTTGTTCCCACTTGCCCTCTGCCTGGACTTTGCACTCCTTCAGTTTGAAACCCTAGTTTTTCCATGCCCATGGCCCATCTCAGGCTTACCCTTATTTAAAATTTGAGAGGTGATGTTTAAATCAGTCAGGGTAAATCAGTGTTGGTCAGAAACATCATATATGTCACATTGCTTTAAATTATTTTCTAGTAGTCACATTTAAAGAAAATGTGGATCAGGTGAAATTGACTGTAATGTGTTTTATTTAACCTGATATATAAAAAACTTTTTAGCACAACAAGACATTGCTGTGATGGTGGGCTGTCGGTACCTGTCTGGTTCCTGTTGGTTCTGAGGCTGAGGTGTTCCTTTCTTCCCCAGTACATAGGAGAGAATTGTTTTGATGAGGACGTAGGGACCCTTCCTGCCTCAAACACACGTGCACACACCATTGCACACACACATTGTAATTGCACATTGTGGTTTAGCTCAGCTCATTTCAGGTGTTCTGTATCTATGAGTGGCTCCAGCCACTCACAGGCCCGGGAAGAGCCCTGGGCCTAATCTTGGTGGGGGAGCTGTCATTCTTATGAAGGAAAATGCATAGGTGAAACTTCAGGCTTTCGAATCTTTAGTTACTCTGATGAAGGAGCTTACGGGGTACAGGAATAAGGTGTTTTAAAGAATTTTGTTCAAATTTAGGGTAACCCAAATTAGAAGCATTTTAAACCTAACACACTGCAACTATTTAGGGTCTCTTTCCATAGTCCTATAGTTTTAAGTAGAAACCCAAATGAAAATATAGGCCTCAGTTTTCCAGAGTGAATAGTACTGGATATTCAGAATTGTTCTTGGGTTGTGACTTTAAGGAGACTGAGCTGAAGTGTGATTCTTGCTCTGTGTACACTTACGTGTAAGGAGCACTGTTTGGTAAAATGTGTAAGTGCCTATGCATAAGCAAAGTTAACACACTTGTCCTTCAGATGAAAACCAGGCATGAGCCAGTGTGTCCCGCTGTCCCCAACTTGTGAGACTTGCTGTTGTGAAATTAATTAAATTCTGTTCCTTAGCAGAATCTTCTAAAAGTTTCTGCCTTGAGCTGGGCATGGTGCACAGGCCTGTAATCCCTGCACTCTGAAGGTTGAGGCAGAAGCGTACAAATTTGAGCCCAGCCAGGGGGACTTAATGACTTAGCAAGGCTCTGTCACAAAATAAAAAATGAAAAGGGGCTGGGGATGCAGTTCAGTGTGAGGCCCTTGGTTCAGTCCCCAGTACCTCAAAAACACAACAACAACAAAGAGAAGTTTCTGCTGTTAGTTTAGTTAAGAAAGAAAATCTGTCTGTGAGTCTGGCTCATTATTCAGCTTGGTTTTCTTTTTGCATCAGTCCAATGGAACAACACCAGCAAGGTGGCTCCCAACAGTTTTGCATCTGCACAGTGTGAAGGTCCTTAATCTTGAATTTACAAGATCTAGTGTCCACGTGCTTCTTTTTGAACTTCATCGTGATATTTTTCTTTTTCCTGCCTTTAGCTGTTGCAAAGTGTAAATCCTTCAAAACAGGGTAGGAGGGGAATGTTCGGCTCACTTGAAAATGAGTCTGAATCTGTATTGCAGATGATTTTCTCAGAAATACAGCCTGCCGTGCTTAGTCTTGACAGCATCAAAACTGATTGCAGGAAAAGGGCTTCACTGAGCTGTGTCCCCAGCCAGTATGTGTGTGCGCGTGCTACTGTTTTGAGACAGGAGCTCACTGAATTGCTCAGGTTGGATTTAGTCTTGCAACCCTCTTTCCTCCACCTTCCAAGATGATGGGATTACAGGCGTGTAGCACCACACCTGTTGGGAATCCTTTAGAATTAGCCCATTAGGGATTTATGCTGTCTTCCTATACATTTAGAAACAACTTGTTAAAATACTTTCATTAAAATCCTTGTATTAGAATACTTTTATTAAAATACTTCTTACAGTCTTGTTGAGCATTTTTCTTTTTAGTGAACAGAAGATAAAGTTAAGGCCAGGCCCTGTTGGTATTATAACTTAATGGGGTTTTTTTTGTGTGTGTGTTTTGAGAATGGCCACTCTAGGTTGTTCAGAATGGCCTTGAATTTACTGTGTATCCCAGATTGGTAAACTTTCTGCCTCAACCTCTAGAGTCTGAGAATTATAGGAAGGTGCTACCATGCCCCGTATTACAGTTTAAAGGTGGTAGGTATAAATTTTTCACTAACGGAATGACATCACGTTACAAAGTGCTTTAGGAATCTGTAAAGCAAATGAGTCATGCAGGTGCTGGGCTATTACATATCCGATGGGTAGTTTTGGATTCCTGTTCTGGCTCTGTCCTTTTCATTTTTGACTAAAATGCAAAAGTAACAATAGCCACGTTCTGTATGTAAAATATAGCACATATATTCTGTCGGGAAAGTAAGATTATTTCAAGATGTGTCAAGGTAACTGCAGATTAAATAATACGGGTTTTATTGATACTCTTCTCATCTTTAGATAAATTCTGTATGGTACCAATCACATTATACAGCAAGGCAGTACAACAATGTAAAAAAATAAGAAAAAAATTTATCCAAGGCATCAAGTTTCAAAAATTACACCATGGTGAAGTCTTGATAGCTAACACATTTTTATTCATATTTTCTGTGTTACTCTGGTTATGCTTCACATTTATTTCAGTTATGCTTCTCGATAGGAAACACTTGGCTACATTGGCAGTGTGGCGTTTCCGTAAGGGACTTAGACAGCAGGGCTCCTTTGCAGAACCTTGGTTTTATAAAGTACCATGGCTTCCCCTGTTTTGGATGCTGATGGCTTCCATCTTCCAGGCATTGGAATGGATACTTGCGTCATTCCTTTGAGGCATGGTGGTCTTTCCTTGGTGCAAACGACGGATTACATTTATCCTATTGTAGACGACCCTTACATGATGGTAAGTTGGACTCAATGTGTTTTTATAGCGGGAACTGCTTGTCCCTGTGGTTGAGTTGTGGCTGGGGCTTATGTGCGTCTGTGTTGTTTTGGTTTTTGTTTGATAATTCCCACTGCACACACCTGGCCCTGTGTAACACAAGAGGAACAGGGACGCCCCTCTGCCACCTTTGTACCTCAGTGTCCCCCGCCCCTGCCCATGTGTGAGAGCACCTGTTTTGGGGAAGTGCTGTTGAACCCCTTTCTTTCTTTGACATTTGTAAACTTTACCATTCCTACTTCAGGCTAGAAAGCTTTCTATACTCTGTACTAGGAGCAATCCTAAGTGTTTCCTTCCAGGAATACAGGAACCTAGCCTCTAGTCCCAATTAGGCTTCTCAAGTGTCTACTCTAATATATGTTAGAACACATTGGTTATGATCCACTCAGCTCTTTGTCTCAAAGCTACTGTGTGTGGTTTATTTCCCATTGGTCACTGCATGCTTGAGGCCTCCAGCTCTTTAATCTACCCCACCTTTGGCCCTGTTTCTCTGACCGCTGGTAACAGGCAATGAAGAGATGGGAATATCCTTCCTACTTGTTATAAAATGCCAGAGTCGTGTGGTAAGGACCCATGACCATGCCACACATAAGGACTTAGGCCATGGAGTAGCAAAATGGGCATGTTCACCTCTCGGGTGCCAATACCAGGTGATTAGGAGCCAGTATTCCATTTGTTCTTCCTGTAGAGCAACACTCTTGAGAGACAGGACAGAGGAGCCATACCCCGATGTCCCACTTAATCTGATGTCAGAGAAGTTAAGACCACAGCTCTTCCTCTGGCATCCTTCAGTGCATCTGAGAGCACCCAGAAAAGTGCTGCCACCCTGACCAAAGGTTGTCATCTCTAAGATTTGTGGCACTTGTTGGCTTGAGAGATGCTGAGGTGGCCTGGGCAAGGCTGTTGGTCCAGCAGGAATGCGTAAGAGACCTAAGACAGCAGCTGAGCACACGAGGGAATGATAGTGCTGCTCTGCAGGGTGGTTAGTCTGCGGCAGAGGAAGAACGCGCCACATTTATTGTCTGCATAATAAAGCTCATAATGAGACAGTGACAACTTACATTTAAAAATGTCCCGTGACAATAAGTGTTTATTGCTGTATTCTATTGAATAGTATTTTAAGTTCTGATGAGTGCTGTTATTTTTCATCTCGTGTATTTTAGAACATTTTTTATTTTTAGTGTTTTGATTAGCCCTGTTTACAGTGTATAATGTTTACCTTTCTTGGGTGGAGCTGGCACGTGACACATCGTGGTTCCTGTCTAATCCTTCATTGTTTCCCGATCAAGAAGGATCTTTCTCCAGTAATGTTTGAATTTTTAGTTTAAAATTATATAATTGATTAGAAAATAGTTGACTTCAAGCTTCTATATTTCTTACATTTTGTCAAACAAGATGATTTTTCTGTTTCATAACATCCTTTGAAAGGAGCTAGAAAAACATCGCAGTCTTGAGCACATGAAAACTGTCCCACTTGCCATAGCCAATAAGGTCAGCATTTTTGTAGAATCTGTTTAGAATAAGCGGCTGTTTCCAAGTTTGCTGGAGGCGAATTGTTATCAGGCTGTTCCTCCTTGGCTTTTTCTCTCAGGCCATCGTTTCTAACTTTGCTTCTCTTCTTTGTCTCCCCCCCCCCCCCCCAATCCAAATAAATCAGGCTTGTAACAGTGGGAAAGAAGACCCTGACCCTGTAAATTCTTTGTTCTGTAGGGTGTAGTAACAGGAGTGCCTGGAAGGGCAGGGTAGCCTGGTGTTTCTGCGATGAGGAAAGATCACTCACTGGTCTGCCACAGTGGACCCGTCCTGCAGCTGCCCTGCCTGGAAAGTCCCAGGTTTTTCTTGAAGGCTGCTCATGGGCTCTGTCTGTCTGTCCACAGATGGAAAGTCCCGGTGTTCTTTCTCATGTCTCCCCTCTCTTCCCAGGGCAGGATAGCATGTGCCAATGTCCTCAGCGACCTGTATGCAATGGGGGTCACGGAATGTGATAACATGCTGATGCTGCTTGGAGTCAGTAATAAAATGACTGACAGGGTAAGTGGGGTCCCCATCTCTTCACGCTTGACTTGTTTCCATCAGGAGAGTGAGGAGCTGGGCCATGTGGCCTCAGCGTTCCGTCTGGCTGTCCACTTGTGAGCCATTGTCAGTACTGTAAAATGAGTGCCTCTGGCTTGTTTATCCTTTTATTTCTACCACTGCTCCCTGCTCCTCTTCTAGGTGGACCAACACCTACAAGTAGGTATTTTTGTGTGTTTTAATAATGTGTAGTTGTTACTAGCGGAATTAAATCTGCAGGGACAGTGTGTAATAGTGTTAAGCCCATGGATCACAGGTCCAGGGTGCTGTGTGTTGAGGACTGGGGTCCTCATGCCCGACATTTTTGTGTTGTTGCCTGACAATGTCTGTGTCCCTGTTAACCTGTTTGAACTTGGAACAAATTCCTACTTACCTTACTTTGACAGGTATGGTGCTTGTTTTTACTCTCCTGAAAACCTCCAGCTCTTAGAAGTCCCAGTATTCAGTAGACTGCCTTCTGCCTTAGCAGTGTGAGCTTTGCTCAGTTGTACACAGGGTCGCAGGAACATTTTGGGAGTGTGCATTACTACTATAGGCCTCAGGCATTTTATACTCCTTGGTCACTACAAGCCCCCTGCAGCAGAGTGTGCGCATGTCACTGAGTAGTCTTGGCACTCTTGACGACAGGAAACACTTGAGTGGTAGTGGTCCTCAGACACAGGGTTGGGCCTATGACCAGGTCACATGTGGGCTGGACTTGTTTCCCTGGTAACCTAGAAGAACATCTTGGAGCATTTGATGAGTGGGTCCAGTGTGACATTCTGCAGTTTGTCCTGTCAGCTTTCTTTAGGGCTTTATGATCCTTTTTTATAACTGTAAGCATAGAACTTTGTTTTCAAGGCTTTAAAGAGAATGATTTGACTTTTCATTTTGTCCTTTTAACCCTTAGGAAAGGGATAAAGTGATGCCCCTAATTATACAGGGTTTTAAAGATGCAGCCGAGGAAGCAGGAACATCTGTAACAGGTGGCCAAACGGTATTAAACCCCTGGATTGTTCTGGGCGGAGTCGCTACAACTGTCTGCCAGCCCAATGAATTCATCATGTAAGTTGGTACTTGTTTCCTGTCACCTGCTCTGTTTTTCTTCTGTGTTTTCTTCCTTCCTTCCTTCCTTCCTTCCTTCCTTCCTTCGTCTGTTCGTGTGTCTGTCTGTCTATACTGAAGCTGGATGTTATTCACACACCATACAGTTCACCCCTAATGCATGGGATTTGGTGAGCTTTGGCACATTCACAGAGTATAGCTATCACCATAGTTGATTTTAGAGCATTAGAGCTTTAAGGTTCATTCACTTTTTAGTGTCTATCATTACTTTGATCTTACTCTTAAAAACGTGTAGATTCTAAAAATTGATTTGTAATTTGTAACGGAATGTCACATAACATAATTCCACATTTTAAACTAACCAGTATGTTGACTTCATGTGCAGCCATTACCACTATCCAATTCTAGAGCATTCCTGTGACATCAGAACTGTATGCATTTGTAGTCTTTTGCAGTTCCTCCTCCCTTATTGTTTTTTTTGGGGGGTCTGGGGGATTGAACTCACGACCTTGCACTAGCCAGGTAGGCACTCATGCTGCTCAGCTAAGTCCCAGGCCCTCTCCTTCCCTCATTCTGTGGCAACCAAAATCAACTTTTTGTCTATAGATTTACCTGTTCTGTTATTGCTTGCAGTATGTGATGTTTTGTATCTGGCTTGGTTCACATAGCACATTTTCAAGGCTGATACAAGCCTGCACTGCCTTCCTTTCCATAGCTGAATAATCCATTGTTGGTATCCACCACGTTTTCTCTATCCATTTGTCTGTTGATGGACCATTCTTCCTAGATCAGTGGTGGCAAACCTTAAGACTTCACTGATTACAAACAGCCAGCTACAGCATACAGGAATAGGTCACCACTGCTGTCCCAGTAGAGCAACTGCTGTGAGTGCTCAGGGATACTTTGTTTCTTTTTGATGTGGACATTCATTTCTCCACATCCTGTCCAGGGTTGTTGCATTGCCAGGGTTTGGTTAGTGTCCTCCCTGGTGTAGAACAGCATTGTGTGGTGTTTCTGCTTTGCTTTTCCTAGATGACTGTTGATACTGAGCATCTACTTTGGAAAAGAGGTTTTTGGGCGTTTCTCTGCCTTTGTTGGAGAATGAGTTCAACAGTATTGTCACTTCCTATGTTAGATATTTGAAACAAGTCCATCGGTCCTGTTTTCTGAAGTAGCAGGGTCCCATGTCTGTCTTGTTGGAGCAGGCACTGAGCGGTATTACGGTTACTTGGCTGAGAACTCAGAGGACTCGGGTACCAAGGGCCTGCAGGACTGACGCAGGACAGATGCGTGCTCTGTGCCTCAGCTACCAGGTCTCCCAGAAGGCTTTCTCTGCCAAGCTACTTTGTTGCTGACATTTAGCACATAGTCCCTTATTTGGGCCTTACAAATAATATCCCAGCAAATGACCAGCCAGAAGTATTGGTCATTTTACATATGTTAACCTACTGATAGGGTCTCTGAGTGAACTCTGGGGTCAGATGCATGTGCTGATCATTCTGTGAGCCCCTGCGGCTCGCCCTGCCTGTGGCCCTGCCTGTGTACCTCACAGCCTGCGAGTACAGTGGCTGGCAGATGTCCTTGGTGATTTTAGCCTTACTATTAGGAGCAGAGGTGAATGTAGTTACATCCATGTTTTAAGTGGTCCTTTTAGGTCCAGTGTGTTGAGCACTTTTATGGTAAAGATCCTGCATTTTGCTAACTACACAGTGTATCTGGGTAGTTCCTCAAACTTTCCTCTTAGATGCTGAAGTATATCTGTTTTACTTCAACTTTCTATTGGGAAAGAGCTGAGTAGGTTGGGTGTTGTGCCACATGCCTGCATTTGGGAGACTGAGGCAGGAAGATCACCATGAGTTCAGGGCAAAATGGGTACACAGCAAGCTTAAGGCCAGGTTGAACTACACAGCTCGACCCTATGTCAAAAAACAAAGGCGGAGGGAGTTGTGGTAAGATAAATTTCAATTTGTTGCCAACAACATACATATCAATGAACATTTGTTCATAAACGTAAAAATAAGCCCATAGCTTTATCACACGTAACATAAATTCATAGGCTGCACATAACCAGGTAAGTGGAAGAACTTAGCATCTTTCAGGTATGGCCGAGCCAGAATGGAAATGCTTTTCTCTCTGGAGGTCTGGTTTTGGGCTATAAGCCTCTTATATATTGTCACAGCATTAGTGTTCAAAGCTGATGAGGATACAGATGTTCCAGGTTGATGAAGTCCTGGAATCTGCGCTCTGGCCTACTTTTGCCTTAGTTCAGCGAGTGAGTAGCCCAGCATCAGTGGATGGAGCACAGTTGTTTGATCTGAGATAAGAGAGGCCTTAGAAAGCCCTGAGTGGTGGATCTCAACCCAGAAGTGATGGCACAAGTATGATGGCCACTTTCTTTGTGAGAAGCATTCTGTTTTTTTTTTTTTTTTTTTTGTAGGGAAGGGATGTTCCTTTTTAGTACTTAACTTTGGTCTTTAAGACAAGGGTCACCTGGGGAGTCTGGGTATTTACTACTGGTCAGTGAGTGTGAGAATCTTGATGTAGAAATCACTAAAACACCAGACTCAGATTCCAGTCAAATCCCAGAACCCAGAAAGTCCCACTTAAATGTCCACTATTTAAGTGACCATAGTCAAGCAGTCTTTGAAAAGTCTGTCTCAAGTGATTTGGAACTCTGCTAGGGTTATAAACTATGAAGGGGAAGACTAAATTCTTTGCTGTCTTACACTTTCTTACTCAGTAGCTAATTGATCCATACACTTAAGCCTGTGGACGCTTTCTTTTTCCTTTCAGTATTTTGTTCCACCAATGTCTCCGGAGCAGGAAGTGAGGCTCTGTCCAGTTCGTGGTACTGGTTACTTGAGAACTCCAAAAGCGTGTGTTTTGAAGGCTTTTCCTTCTCTTGTTTAACGGTAGAGTTAATGTCCTTGGTTGGTTGGACTAGAGCATGCCCTTTTCCTTCTCTTTAGGCCAGACAATGCGGTACCTGGAGATGTGCTAGTGCTGACAAAACCCTTGGGGACACAAGTGGCCGTTGCTGTGCACCAGTGGCTGGATATTGTGAGTAGACTGCAGCTTCTGATAGGAGGGGTGGTGGGCACGGGGCAGGGCATTCTCAGGGTTGGGTTGGCTTTCGTCAGGGAGCTTTGGAAAGTAAGATGTTTGTTTTTACTGCTAAGTTTAATTAGTTCTGTCCTAAAGGAAACCCTGGGAACTGACCATGTGAGAGGTCCAAGTATTGAATATTTCAAGCAAAAAATCTAAGTTTGGGGCTTCAAACATTTTCCATGAAGAATTTGAGAGGGGTGGTTAGCTTTATCTATTTATTTTACAACTGAGATAGGCTCATCTTTTGTGTCTTAGGCATCACTGTGTAGGGCTGGGAGTACAGCTCAGTGCTCCTGTGTGGTCCCCAGCACAAAACAGCAATGGAAGAGAGTTCGTGAGAAGTGTTTAGGGTATGAAGAAGGACAGGTACTGCCGAGTTATTTTAGTAGTGGAGATAGGGGTTGTTATTGCCTGGTAATGTTGTCTTTTTAAATTGAGGAATAACCAAGAACATTTTAATGCATAATTCTCAGGGGAGGGGTGTCTAGAATTGAAGGGTAGTTCTAAGCATTTTCCCATGGAGCTATAATCATACTTAACATGTTTCACTATCATAACAACTCGTAAGTTAGTAAGATCATGTGTGTTTAATTTCAAACTATCATCTGAAACAACTAATCTTGAGAAGCAGTTGGAAAGTAATTAAGTAATTTGAGGTCACTCATGAGCCAGGTATATCTTAGCTGATGTAGAAGAGTAAGAAATTCTCCACATCCTTCATTTATTTTTACCTCCTTACCCAGCGGGGCAGAGAGATTGGGAACCTGGAGTGCTGTGCAAGACGGATGCCTAGCCCTGCAGTGCCTGGTGAGGGAGGCGGCTGCAGGCCGAGCAGACAGGTGGCAGGGTTGAGTCCTGGGGCATCAAGTCTTTCCACATCAGCTTCACAACACCTTTGCTACCTTTTAAGCCAGCTTTTAAAAAACTCTCAGAACAGAAAAGGCAAGTCCCAGAGACTGTATGTAACAGCACAGTTTTTTTTTTTTTTTTTTTTTTTTTTTAGCACAGTATGCCTTTTTACAAAGGTATCAGATACAAGAAGGGATTCCTTTTTTTTTTGGTACCGGGGATCGAACTCACCACCTCGAGCTTGCCAGGCAGACACTTGCCACTGAACTAAGCCCCCAGTATGTATTACTTTTTTTAACAGGGAAAAAGTGTAGAACTGAGAATATTTGTTACTTTTGCAAGAAGCACATGTGATAGGAGAGGTGGGCAGAAGCTGTTGCTGATGTCTAGTTAGTAATGACTGCCCTGGGGAGAGGCACTGGATAACTACTGTGTGTGGGTACACACCTGCATGTGTGCATGTGTTTCTGGGGATCACACTCACAGTCTTGCACATTCTGGGCAAATGCTTTAGAACTGAGCCACCCTTCAACCCCTTGGGTGTTCTTCAGGTCACTAGAAATGTAAAGGTTGGACACATGCATGTGGGCAGCTAAGTTTGGGCCATGAAGATCAGACTAGGGGAGACAAGTGTCTTTATGATGTCCTTTTTGGTCACTGAATATTGTCCTCAGCAAATGCAGTTGAAGTGTTTTTATATCCCGCATTCATCAAGATCCCTTCATTCCAGCATTCAGTTAAAGCCAATAAAGTCACTGTACTGTGAAACATAGGAGCCAGCATCGTAGGGGTCGTGGGGAGGAGCACCCACGGCCTGTTAGAAATACGATTCACACCCTGCCAGAGAGCAGACTGCAGCCCATCACCACACACTTCCCCTGCCTGCACCGTCCTCGCTTTGCATGGCCAATGCACTGCCATGTTCGATCTTAGAGATGTGGGGTGAGATAGAAAAGGGCCTAATGATAGTTTGGTGGCCACATAATAGTTACAGGAGAAAAGTCAGAACATTCAACCTTATGTTTAAAGTTAAGTGTGTGAAACTCCAGGAGGGCAGGGCTGAAACTCTGGAACAGCATGGGCTGAACATGTGATCAGTGCTGGGTCTGATTCCCCAGCAGAGGAAGAAAGTTCCCAGAAGATGACTAAGAACAACGGTGCTGTCTTCAGCAATGGTTAGCAGTAAAGATTAATGTCATTTCCCCCCTTTCCCCTCACTGGTGTTCTGTTCTTAGCCTGAGAAATGGAATAAAATTAAGCTGGTGGTCACCCAAGAAGACGTGGAGTTGGCATACCAAGAAGCCATGATGAACATGGCACGACTCAACAGAACAGGTAGGGTGGAAAGGACATTTTGTGAGGGCTGGCAGACAGTCTGAAAAGGGCTGAGGGCACCAAAGTTTTAGGCTTCGTTGGGCACACAGAGTCTCTGTTGATCTTTTTACTCTTTCATTCAGCCTTTTGATGTTGTGAAAGTTATACACGTTTGATAGAAACCACTCTTGGAGTTTTGACTGTTATTTCTCTGGTAAAGATTTGCAACACAGCACCTCTCCTCCTCACCCATGGAGCCGGGTGGCAGTAGCGCCTGATCACTGGGTGATCACAAGCTGGATAACCAGTACTCTACAGTGTGCTGTATTGCTGAGTTGGGTGTGGTATTTGTTAGGCTAGGTGCATAAATGCATTTTGGTTTAACTGTTGTAACTTGAGAATATTTTAATTAACTTCATCATACATCAAGGAACATGTTCTCAGCAATGCTAAAGGTGCCTTTCATTAGAAGAAAGCTTGCCAAGGGAATCACTGGACATAGTTACACGTTGTGTTGGATGTTTTTAGTCGTCCTTGGTGGCAGTACATGCCTGCATTTCTGTGTGCAGTTGTAACCCTTCTTTGCCCTCCTTCCATCTCTTGATCACCTTGCCCTTTGAGAAAGAGCTGTCTCCCTACTTCGTATTGCTTACCTTTATTTTACTCTTCATTTATATTTGGGTTTCTCACATAAGAGAAACCGTGAGGTACTTCAGCTTGTGTGTCTGGTTTATTTCACTAACACTGTAGTTTCCAGGCACCTCCATTTTCCTACGAATGACTCAGGTGCATCTTTCTGGCATAGTAGTACTACTGGCTGGTGTGTGAATATCACATTTTCTTTTCCATTCATCTGGTGGTAAGGCATAGGCCACTTGTAAGAGTTAGCTGTTGTGAATTGTGCGGCTATAAATGTAAGTACGCAAGTATCACTCACTGTTCCTTAACTCTGTAGGAAGATACCTAGGTGGGAGATAGCTAGGTGAAATGGAATTTCTAGTGTTAGTTTTTGAGGAATCTCCATGCTGATTCTCATGGTTATAGTAGTGTACATTCCCATGAATGATGCAGGAGGCTTCCTTTTCCTACAGCCTCACTAGCATTTGTTGTTAATTGATTTTTTACTGATGGTCATTCCTTCTGTTGTAAGTTGGAGCATTCTTTTTTTTTCAGTACCGGGGATCAAACTAAGTTGAAGCATTTTATGCTCACTTTTTATTAGTGTGGATATTATTTTAAATATTTTGTAGTTAAGAAGAGCTTTTCATAGATCTTTTGAAATCATAACCTCTGATATGTGGGGGAACTGCCTCTAGAAATTACTTGATTGCTCTGTGTAATGCTTTGGAAGCAAACCAACATTCAGAATGGAAATTTAGGAAGTTTATATTCTGAAAATACCAATTTTCCTTCTCATTCATTATATTACATTTAGATACACACAAAAGTTTATTCGTGTTTGCCACAATTAGGAAGCAACCAGATAGCCTTCAGTAGGTAAGCAGATGCATAAACTGACTTCCAGATGAAGGAATATTACTGAGCTGTCGTGGGAAAAATGAGCTACCAGGCTGTGAAAGGTGGAGCCCTGTAACGATGTATTGTTCAGCACAGGTGTAAAGGCTGCACTCCGATTCCAACTGTGCCTTCCAGAAAAAGCAGACAGTGAGATGGTGAAAAGTTCACGTTGCACATGATGGCTTCTGCCTGTAATTTCAGCTCTGTCTCTGGAAACTAAGCTGTCACCTGGGCCCTTGGCTCAATCCCCAGTGTCTCATTCCCACCCCCCAGAAGTCAGTGGGTGCCAGCCTAGGTGCAAGGGAAGGTTACTGAGGCAGAGTGGTGAGGCTGCTGAGCGACACCGTGCTGGGTGCTGTTGGATTTCTATAAAATCCGGGGAGCCAGGCCCTGGCGACCCTCGGTGAGTGCTGTTTTGGTTCACCAGGTGCCCTGCAGTACTGTGAAGTGTTCACAGAGGCAGGGTGGAGGTGGGCTTACCACACCTCACACTTGGGCTGTGTTTCTCCAAACCCAAAACTTGCAAAAAAGTAAAGCCTGTTCATTTTTTAAAATTAAACAATTTAAAAAGCCATTAAACTTTCCAGTAGTTCATCTTGAGGAAGACTATCTTGATTTTAAGCCAGGCATTTTTTTAGTGGGCATAATGCCAATTTTGTCATAAAGAAATGTTCCTGTGGCTATGTATTACCCACGTTTATTCTTTAGAATATTTCTGTTGATGAATTGTTAATTTTAATTTTATGAGTTTTACTGTATTAAAGAGTACTTAAGAGGAAAAAATAGCCAAAAAAATTGAATTTCTAATATTTAAGTTGTTTATAAAAGAGCATCAGACTTTTCAACATTGACTTTTTTGGTGTACAAAGTCTAAAAAATACCAATATGAACTACAATGAAAATATCAATAACATTTTATTTTTTTAAAATATCTTTATTTCAACTGTCACACTCAAGGCAGTCTTCATACAAGAGAACTGCGTCCTCTGTACAAAAGTCTTGCTTTCACTGGTAGCGAATGTGTTTTGTTTTCCTGCCCTCTCCTGTAGGGCACAGTTGACATCCTTTTGGCTTTCTTGTTGTAGTAGGAGGTTTCTGTGATGCGAAGCCTGCATGTTTGCTGGTCAGCCCACCAATGTGCTCTGCAGTTTTTCTGTAAGGTTTCCTGGACAAAAACATTTCTGTTTTCCTCTCCTGTAAATGATCTCTTATAAGTTCCAGTCATGTTTTGCACCTGTTATTTTCTTTGTAAACTGTCAAACTGTTTATGCCACGTGTTTAGGTTTGAGTGAAACACAGCCGTTCGCCAGTGCTTTGTGTGGCAAGTGCCATCATAGTTGCTGCATAGCTCATCACAACATCCACTCCATCTTTGGTTTTGCTGTGGAAAGTTACCATCTCAGGCTTCCGTTTCTGTTGAGGTAGATTCATTCTGTTGGGGCTCATGGAGTTATAGTCCTTTTCTAGAATGTCATTGAGAACATTTTGGAGTGCTGGTTTGATGGTCATGAATTTCCTCAGATGTTCTTTGTTATGGAATTATCTTATATTTCCCTCAGTTCTGAAAGGTGGTTTTGCAGGATGTATCAGTCTGATTTGGAGGTTGTTTTCTTTTGGGGCTTGAAATACTTCACTTCAAGCTCTCCTTCACTTGAGGACTTGTGTTGAGAAATCTGCTGTGATTGTGTTGGATTTTCCTTTATGGGTGATTTGTTTCTTTACTCAAACAGCTTTTGATATTCTGTTCTTGTGTTGAATTTCTGGAATCTTAATTGTTGCATGCCTTGGTATAGATTTTTTTTAAAATCAAGGTTAATTAGAGTTCTATGTGCTTCACTTACCTGTATGTAAAATTCTTTTTCCTTGCTTGGGAAATTTTCTGCCATTATTTCTATGAACATTTTTTTATGTCATTTGCACTATTACCTGCTCTTTCATTGACTCTGGTCAATCTTAAGTTATTCTTCTTTGCATCTTCTAGTAGCTGCTGGATCGATTTCTTGTGATCCCTTGTTATTTTTAAGAAATCAGTATTTCATAGTACAATATTATTTTTCTTTACAAATGAGGCCTCTGTTATATTTATCTGAAATCTCAAGGTTGAACTGTACAGTTCTCTCGCGAAATTGCAACAGTTCATTTGGGAATTCTGCTTTGTTCCTGTGTACAGTTCTTAGGCCGTATTAGTAAACATAACCTCAATTGGAAATTGGTAAACCATCTGTCAAATGTCACATTCCAATTAGTTTGGGAGATGTGGGCAACAAGTCTGTCCACGATATCATTTGGTTTGTTACTACAAATAAGGACCTGGTGGCTGAGTTCCAGGATAAATTTGTAATCGAAAGCATAATATTTGCATTTATGAGGGCATAAATTTTTCTGCCATATTTTGAAGTTTTTTTTGAAAATACACTGCCTGAAGCCATAGTGACTGTGAAAATGCTGAGTTGCTCACTAGTTGTGTATACAGATGGTGTGTAAATTGCTTGACAGTTACCCACAAATCTCTCAAGCCATGAACAGAAAGCAGCCAGATTTTCAGTCCTTTTTCTTTCTTGGCAGTTGGTTTTGTCATCAAACCTCAAGCCCATGAGATTGCCATGAGAAAGCCCTGCTAAGAATAGCAGACCTATGGGTGCCTTCAGTTCAGCTAGTGAGCTGTCATAATGAATGCATTTTTTAGTGTGGCTGTTGGTGCATGCAGAATAGTTTACTTGTATCACAGTATTTGTTTATTGTATAATATCTTGTAGCATTTCATCAGTTACAAACATTTCCAACACTGAATGGCAGTGAGGCATTCCAGCCAAATAGGTTTCACCCCTGCCAAGATCCTTATTATATTTTGGGACTTAGTTCTCTAACACCAGATCATTCCATTTGGTTGCATGACCATTTTGTACCATTTCTGCTAGCTTACTTATGCACAAACATTGCTGTTTTCTTCATCATCTAAGTCAAAGAAGTCTGCATTTCCTGTGTCTATTGATTCTTGTTGCATTTGATGGTCATGGGAACTTGAGCTCACAGGCCAATCTCATAAGTTATCATCTTCATGCATGCATGAGTTTTGACTACCTCCCAAACTTGTAAATCTGGTTTTTCTTATGCTATTATACTGAATTGGGCTGTTTTCACAAGAAAAATCAAAAGAAAACTTTTAAAAACAAATCCTAAGTTCATAGAAATTTAGCAGTGAGCATTTCATGGGTAAAACTCACCTGTTGCTGGCTTGGATCTCCAGCTGTTTGCCTACCAAGTGAGTGAACGCACAGAAGGGTTTTTGCTTTCCCCAGGCACAGCTCCTGAGCCACATCCACATTCCATTATGTTTATGAAGAGTGATGTGGGTGTGTTTTACCCCCTGATAATGCTCAGCTAAACACACACAAAGCCTGTTAGATGGAGTGTGATGTGGGCAAAGCTCCCAGTTTGACCCTTGCACACATGCACACACCTTGCTGTTCATCATACCAAGTGGCTGAACACGAAAATCAATTGCTTTGTCCTCTAGATACAACTACTCAGAGGCACCTGGTTACTATCATGCTGGAGTACAGATTTACATTAGAGAAATGTGAAGTGGGTTGTAACTCAGTGTTGTGCCCTGCTGTTAAAAGTCCTTTTCTTTGATTTTTAAGGTGGTTTTGACAAATTTCCTTCCATTGAGATCGTAATTCCTAAGCACAGTTCTGGGCTTTTTTGGGTTTTTGTTTGTTTTGTTTTGTGCCGGGGATCAAACTAATGACCTTGGGTTTGCCAAGCTGGTGCTTATGCCACTGAGCTAAACCCCTGGCTATAGTTCTGTTTTTAGTTTACAAGGAAATTATTTTGGATTGAAGCTGCTGATAGGCTCCATGTAGTATAAGTTGAAATCAGTCAGCTTTCAGGATTTCACTCTGGTTTGGTTTTATGATAGGACATTTTCACTGTCCTTGTGTACCATCTCCTTGACAGGAGATCTTCAGGTTATATCACATGTGAGGGTGGGATTGTGGACAGGTACTTTTTCTTGAGAGCCACCCCTTTGTCCTCTCAGCTGCAGGACTTATGCACACATTCAACGCCCATGCGGCCACTGACATCACAGGGTTTGGGATTTTGGGCCATGCACAGAACCTGGCCAAGCAACAGAGGAATGAGGTGTCGTTTGTGATTCACAACCTTCCTGTGCTGGCGAAGATGGCTGCTGTGAGCAAGGCCTGTGGAAACATGTTTGGCCTCATGCATGGGACCTGCCCAGAGACATCAGGTATGACGATCCTAGCCCGAGGTCTGAGGTTAAAGTGTGCGAAAGGCTAACAGAAAGCAGCGGAACAAATGCATGGGGGTGTGCACTTGGGAGGCCACTCCTGAGGACCAAGGCAGCATCCCTGCTATTGGACTCCAGCTCTTGCTTTCCACCTCTTGCTGTCTTGGGTATCTTGATTATTTTAAGTGGTTCTTTGGGTGTTCCTGTCTTTCTGTAGGAATATGGCGGTGATGTGGGAGAGAATACAGGAAATATTAAGTCATTACCAGTATTCTTCCTGTTTCTCTTTTCAGTGCAACTGTATAGTTTTCGATCTTGGGGATTTAAAAGTATACATACCAAGCCCCAGAAAATGTAGCGTCTTGGTTCTAGGATGGTCAGCTTTCCCCAGAAGGTTGTAGTGCAGAGCCCGTGATGGAAACCACAGAGCCCTTGCACGGGCTGGATTTCAGGGCTCACCAGGCCTTTTTCTGCCTCATAGAGACTGACTTTTTACTGTCCTGCTGACAACAGACAGTTTCCACAAGGAGTCGGGGGCCAAGAGGTAACTTCCCTTGTTGGTCTGATACTTGGGTGGAATAGAGTCTGCCACTTAGTGGGCACTGAGAGAATCTTGAATTAACGAACATTGCACACTTTTCCTGTTTTGGAGGTAATGACAGTCAGGATTAGAGGCTAGACACTTGGAGGTACACCCACTTTCCTGCATGTTGACACACAGTGCAGCATTCCTGGTGAGAAGAGTCATCCACGAGGGGAAGCAGATTGAAGCAGAGCATTTCTCCTGCTTGTCAGTGTGGAAAAAGCACCACCATGTGTGCCATCGAGGCCTTGACCGCAATACTTGGCCTGGTGTCCATAGTTCATTTGGACAGTTTAAAAATTACTGTTTGTTTTTTTAATAGGAGTTCACCAAGAAATTAATTAATATGGAGAGTAGCCGTTGTAATTGTATGGGAAGGGCAACTCCAATGACGTTGCTAATTGAGTGCTGACATTGTGCAGGAGTTTTTATACCATGCTTAATGGTCATTTTTTTTTTTCTTTTTGGTAGGAGGCCTGCTAATCTGTTTACCACGTGAGCAAGCGGCTCGGTTCTGTGCAGAGATAAAGTCCCCCAAGTATGGTGAAGGTCACCAAGCATGGATTATTGGGATTGTAGAGAAGGGCAACCGCACAGCCAGGATCATCGACAAGCCACGGATCATTGAAGTCGCGCCACAAGTGGCCACTCAAAACGTGAACCCCACGCCTGGTGCCACCTCTTAATCTAGACAGAGTAGTCATTCGGTTTTGTTTTTAAATAGATATATTTCCTTTATCATAACTTCAATTAAAGACTGCAGTATAAGCAACAACAAAATCTCATTGTGTCTACACATCTGGTGACCTTAGGTCGGTTTGTGAGTGGATGCAATTAATAAAATGAAATCCATGGCCTTCTTTCCCTGTTACGTTACCTGAAGATGCACCTGATCCCGAGGCAGCTTCTGAGTCGAGGATTATACTGTTATCCAACACTGTTGATTCATTTTGAATCTGAGACACGTATCTCTTGCCGCATAGGCGCTCCTAAAGGTGCTTTCCCTCAGCACAGGCATTACCAAGAGTAATGTCACACAGCAGTTTGTGTCTTTCATTCTCTGTGTGTTTATCACCTCAGTCTGGTCTGTCTTTTAAGCGTTTTGGATGGTTTTCTGAACAGACAGAAGTGGTAAGTGACACACTGATCTCACAGGACGAGCGGGCACTGCATGGTTCCTTTGCATCTCCGATTTGTAACGTTGAGTCTGATAATTCAGGAGCATCTCTGGCCTGGGCAAGACTTTCTCCACTCGAGTGTTCAGGTCAGCAAGGCAAGTGCTTCACTGCATGAAAGCACTTTGAAGACAAAAAAGAAATTTTCTTTTTTTGTTGCCTTTCTGGCATTTACAGTAATATCATTAACTGTTTTCTTTACTGATAGCAAAAAAGAATACTTTTTGCAATGTAAGTAGATGTTCTATAGTGCAACAAGGAGTTGCCTTCTGATAAGGGGTTCATGTATAGTACTCATTTACAATTCAATATATAATTACGCAAATAATTTTTAAATATAATCAGTGATAAAGACTTCTGTGGATGGTAGTGTTTAATACATTCTATATTTTGTATAGTGATTTCAGCCTAATTCTTAGCATTGTTTTGCCCTTTGAGCCAGTACTTTTTTGTGCACGCTTTTTGTGATCTGTGTTAAAAATCTGCATTGCCAACATTGCAGCTCCAACTTAAACTTGTTACCCAAATAAATATTTAATTTTTTAATTGCTCTTGTATAATCAGATGCCCCTTTTAGTATTATTTTAGAAGGGAGGGTTTTGCCTAAAATACAATTTATTGGGGAAAACTAGATTTTAGTTTTATAAACTTAAGTCTTTCATGGGACCTATATTTTCTTGAATTAAATTTTGTAGTTCTAGAACAAATAGGTGATCTAAAAGGTGTTATCTGTGTTACTTAAAAGACAGAGGCTTCCTTATATTTTAACCTACTAAGCAGTCAGAGATCCCATCGCTAAGCACAAAGGCACTGAATCCTCAAGCGACTGTCTTCATAGGAGAAAAAGCACCGTGTCCCTGCAGTTTTGGAATACTACTTCTTGTAGGCACCAGAGCCACACAAAACCCACTCATCTGCGCCATAGGAAACAGCACCGGGAAGATGATGCGCCCTGGAGGGGGAGAGCTTGTGGCAGGCGCTGTCTGCGAGCCATGTGTGCTGCTGGGACTGGGCCCAGGCCAGAGGGCTGCGCAGAGGGGCCCCACAGAACTGCCACGCATTGGACATTTTATAGGAATTTATACAGATGTTGGTCTTTAAAAGCTGCACACCAGTGGTCTGCAAAATAAATGTGTTGGAAACCTCTGAGTATGAGAAATAGACTGGTGAGCTTTTTTTTTTTTAATGGTGATGGTTGAATCTGAACAGCAGATTATGTCTCAAGTGCTAGTGATTTTCTTTGTGGCAGGTCTGTTGAGTGGAAGTAAACTGAACAAGTTATGCCCTTGAGATCATCTTTGTAAAGATTCATATTCTGGGAAACACTGGTCCTCAGGGGACTGCATAGAACTGCATAGAAGGTCCATGCAATTCATAGACTCCCAAGAAGAACCTGAACGCGGAGTTTGGAGAAGTGCTCCGGATACTCCTACAGTAGGACCAACTGAGGTGTCTTGTCTGTCAGGGAGACTGTTCTGCCCCTTTTCCCAGAGTCACAGAATCAGCTCTAGGATGTGGGCGGCAGCAAGTGGCTATCTTTAAGTGTCCCTTTCGGGACAAAGGAGTGTTCCAGGGGAGAGGCAGGAACAGAAAGGAGACTTGGTTTTGCAAAAATATTTTTTTTTTTTTTAAGTCCTGACAGTTTCGTTGTTTCCCATGGCTCATCCTTCTGTGGCTGGCCCAGCAAGAGGGATGAGAAAACTCTGGTAACTTGAAAATCCCTTGAGTCAGGTGATTTGAGTTCTTGACAAAGTCTATGGAGAACATTTTAAAATTCAGTGAACAGTGACTATACAGTCATTTTGAATTGCTGGTAGCTAATATTTTACAACTTCACATTGAAGTGTGTCCCTCTGGGTATACTGATAAATTTCTGTAAACCGTAAGATATGGTGGCCTCCAAAAGTGTAGTCTATTAGAATGCACAAGGTTAGTGAACACAGCCTGAGGCAGCTGGGCCCTGGGTGTGGCTGTAGACTTCAGGCCTCAAGTTATTTGCAAGGAAATATTCATGCACAGCTGGTAATTTGCCCAGGTTATATTGAAGCACTGTCTTTAGTTTAAGGAAAGTTTACTGTGTAAGCAATAATGCTCCTTTTCTTAGCTTAGTATTTTAGAAAAACTTTGAGTCTTTAAAGTTCTGCATGCTTTATAATGAATAAATGTGTTTTCAATCTTTCTGATTATGGATGTATGAGCCAGCCATTTTCAGTATGAATGTAGATGTATTTATTTCCTTTAACAGTTCTGAGTTCTAAATCTTAGTTTTATTCTGCAGAGACCAGAATAGTGGCTATATCATATTCTTTATTTTTGGAACTAGCAAAACAAATACAGACATGGGAATTTCAGGTGCCCAGCTGGAGGTGTGTGCACAGACATGTATCTCCCGGGCAACTCATTTCCACACCCTACACCGCCTAGGCTAGCTAGACAGCTGCAGACGATTCTTAAGTAGTCTTTTGGACCTTTTCTCATTAAGAATCCACATATGAAGCACATAGTCAGTAAACATGGTGGGGATTGCAATGCAAATCTAAAGTCTTGGTAAAAAAGAATATGGGAATGTTGTTTTTACCTTGTTTAAACTTAACCTTGAGTGAGATTAGGGGTGAGTGGGTTAGAGAAAGCTCTCATGTAGAATGTTGGCAAAACTGCTTCTAGGCCTCCAGCCATGATCTGAAGTTGCTGGGGTCTGCAGCCTTCTATAGATGCCAGATGTTTTGGTCTGGTCAGTAGGACCAGAATGCCCTGCTCTGTATAGTGTCCTACATTTCACAGTTCCCAGTATCAAACTGAGCACTCCGATGTTTTGAGTGGGCTACATGGTGAGTTCGTGACCAGCGAGACCCTGTACACACATACACACATACTCAACACAAAGCTAATCTTGTATTTCCATCATATGCCTACGTATTCTTATAAAACAACAAAAAGTACTCTAACCTAAGCGTTGAAAATCAGCTGTGATACCAGGTTTTTAATGGCAAGAAAGGCATTATCTTTATGAAATTCTGTTTGAGTTAGGGCATCATTATCCAAAATACACCTAAAGGACCAAGAAAAAATCACCAAATAAAGACCAAATTTTAAATTGTAAGCTAACAATGTATACCAAGAATCCAAGCAATATTTACACTTAAATCTAACATTTCTAAGACTAAGCAAATCTGAAAAAAATTTCAAATTGCCCGTGGTCACCAAAAATGTATAAATGGAAGGAAAATCGATGACATCTATTCAGTAAAGCCACTCAAGCATTAAAAATAAAGGCACCGTATTAATAATACTTGAAAATATTACGATGCTGTAAAAAAGACTTCAAAGAAATATACCTCCACCAAACTTTTAACATAGTTATTATGTACAGGTAAAATTTCCCCATGATAAGTGTGATCATATGTATGGCAAACGTACTAAAAAAAATGAAGGTATAAAATGGGATGTTCTGGTGAAAAAGCGATTGCATTTCAAGGAATTCTGGATGATTTTTAAAAATCTTTCTGAGTTTTATTATGGTAAATATAGTTTTTTAGGTGGGAAATCAATATGTTACATTTTTAATTGTCTAGTCAGTATAGTCTGAGAAGTAATCACAGTAATATAATCCAAATAAGTGTAGGAAATAGCCATAAATAAATCACTTAGCCCATAAGACTGGAGTTGTGGTCCTGTGAAAGTATTTATGAAGTGCAAGGTCTTTCCCTTAAAGATGACAAGAGGGTAAACTGTTGGGCATGTAATCAGGGCATACGAGTATATGTGTAATGTATATACATACAATGCATACAGCATATACATGGATATGCACCAAAAATGCTAGCTAACGTTGCTTGGCTTTTTAAGAGTCAGATTATATATTTTCTGGTATTTTTCTTTTGAATTACTAAAATTCATTCAGAGAAAGTAAAGGTCTTCAAAATTCTCTCCCCTCGTACTAATTGGAACAGATCCTGGGAAGAGGACTGGAACGCTGAACTGGACCAGGTGACACACTGTGTTCCATGTTGATACTGCAGTTCCCAGCGTGTGTCCCGGGAACTTGTGTGTGCTTGACTGCACCCTGTGGGAGACAGTTCTCAGAGCGTTTCAGGCGCTCTGGTGTCACTGCTGGCCTGACAGGTACCTTATCTCTTTGTGTCACTGACATAGTGACCTAAGGAGGTGACAGGAGAGCGGGACTTTACTGTCATCCTGTTCTGCAGAGCAAGGCCTAGGAGCTGGAGAGGTCTGTGACCAGCCCACCTTGCCTTGAGGGGAACGGCCCAGCTAGGCATGGTCTCCACCCAAGCTCCTCTCCTGCACGAGATCCCTGTCCTCTAGCCTCAGCACACGTGGTGGGGTCTGCCTGGGGTCCCAGCACTCTTGGAGGCTTGGGCAGGAGGACGATGTGTGCGTGCCCAGCCTGGGCCATTCAGCAACTCAGCGAGGCTGTCGCTAATGATGATATTATTAATTACTATTACTTCAAAAGGACTCTGTAGCTCACTGAAAAGGGCCTGGGTTCATCCCCAGTACTGCAATATAGATTAAAAAAATATAAACCAAAGTCCAACTTTTGAAGTAAGCATAGAAACATGGGCTGTTTACAAAAGGTGTTTAATTCAGTGAGATTTCAGTTCAAGATATTAGAAATATTTTGGCCGATCATAGCGGGGCAGTCTATAAAATGAGAACAGTATGAGCCAGACAATCAAGCAGAACTTTGAATGTCTGAAAGGACTAAACATTCCCTTAGTAAACTGTCTTCTCTCCTGTCACTGTAGGCTATTGCCATAGTACCTATTTTCTTTTTCCTTGTTTTTTTTTTGTTTTTTGTTTTTTGGTACTGGGAATTGAACTCACAACCTCACACTTGCCAGGCAGGCGCCCGTGCCGCTGAACTAAATATCCAGGCATCTTCTTCCTTATTTCTGAGTTGCTTTCAGAATGTCACTTCTCACAAGCATGGCCTTCTGAAATGATGCCTTTATGTAATTGGGTGACACTGCCCAGTCCAGATGATAGCTGAACCAAAGATCAGTCACTGGCTCCTGTCTGTGTCCTTGTAGGCAGGAGGTCACTGGATTGGGTCAACTTCCCAGCACAAGGTCACTGCGTGGACATCTGGGCTTCTGCCTTCTGTTAATATGCTTGTCCTCTCTCCACTAATTTCGTGGCATGGTTTCTTTTTTGTAGTTATCCTTAGAAAAAATTTTAATGATCTTAAAATATAATGCAAGTAGGTGAAAAAAGTGGATGCGAAAAACTACATACAGAACAGTTCTAATTATGTAATATATATGCATAACACTAAAAAGTGAGACAATGACGATCTGTGCCTAGTTATCTGTACTTTTTCTGTATGCATTTAAAAACATATTACAAAAGCAATTATTCTTTTTTTTTTTTTTTTGTCTGACTTTTGAGACAGGGTCTTGCTATGCAGTTCAGGCTGGCCTTGAGCTCACTTTGTAGCCCAGGCTGGTCTGGAACTCGCAACGATCCTCCCACCTCAGCCTCCCGAGTGCTGGGATTACAGGCGTGAGCCACCACGCCCGGCTCAAAAGCAATTATACTTTATCCCAAAATCCACAGTGCTTCAAAACAAGGCTTGCGAGAAACTCACAAAATTTGCAGGAGTCTACTTAAAACTAAAGGACTTCACTGCAAATCTTGGCCGGTTGCACCGGTATCAAAGCCCTTAGCCTCAGCGGGCTAGCAACCAAAATCACCTAAATTTAAAAACGCACCGCTGTGCAGCTGCAGTGGCTGGGCGCTCCCCCACCGGTCAGCTCAGGGACCTAACACTCCGTCATCCAGAAAGAGTAGGAAACACAAAGGAGAAAACTACGTTCTAGCCCAGCAGGAGCAAGAGTTCAATGGATGTTCCGGTTTTCTCGTGAGTACGGGGATCGGAGCCCCGGGCGGGAAGTGCGAGCGGGGCTGGGCCGGAATCGGCCAGGGCGAGGCGCGCAGGCTGGGGGCGCAGGAGAGCCGGGCGGACCTCTGCGCTCGGGGCGTGGCCTGTGCGGGAATCGCCGGCTCGCAGGAAGCCCCACGCATCCCCGCGGACAGAGGCGAACTGCAGGGGACCTCGGGCGCCCGTCTAGACCGACTCTGCACCCCGGGCGCCCGGGCCCAGCCGTGCAGGCTGCGGGGCGCCAGGTCCCCGTCCCC